CACACACACACACACACACACACACAGAGATGGTGGACCGAGAAGAGGAAGAAGAAGAACTCTCTCTCTCCCATATGCCAGGTAGTAACCTGTGAAGATGGCGCTGTGCTGCAGGTACCTCGAAGACGAAGCTGGAGCAACGGCGCTGCAGGTAAGTCTCCCTGGCCTCCGCCCAATCTCTCTCTCTCTAGTAGTACTCTGGCTCCTATGGCGCCCAGCGCTGAAGACTATTGCTAACGCTACTAGCGCCCAGCGTTGAAGACTACTGCTAGCACTACTACTACTACTGCAGTGCTCTCCCAGAGTGCTGCTGCCGAATCCTGAAGACTACAACCTGCCTCCTGAACTGCACGTGAAGTGCCTGGGAAGTACCTAGGAACTACCTGCCGGCCTGCAGGGCGGGCCAGTCCTATATAGGGCTGGTCCGTCCTATATAGGGCTGGTCCGTCCAAGAGGCTGCTCTTGCCAATGCCGAAACATGCCAGACCCTGGCGTTGAAGCTCAACCAGGGGTTGTCTTGAAAACAGGCCCGAAATGGCCTGTGCTAAAACCCTGGTTTGTTGCCTGAGTTTCAGGGCGGGTCGAACTGATGAGGGCCTGAAAATGGCCCTCAGTTTCAGGCTGAAAACACTCAGGGCCAGAAAGGCCCTAATTTAGCCTGAAACGACACAGGGCCTGTAGGCCCTTGTTTTCAGGCTTTCAGGCTGAAACAACACGGGGCCTGTAGGCCCTTGTTTTCAGGCTCTTGGCCTCAAAATGTCACGGGCCTGAAAGGGGGCCCGTGCAGCCTGTTGCAGGCGCAGCATGTAACAGAGAGAGAGCGGCGAGGGGAAGGGGAGAGGGCTAGGGGGAAGTCGGGGTGGGGTTTGGTGGATTTGAGGCGCGATTTCGTTTTTCGTATCCTTTGTTTTGTTCGGTTTATAATTGTGTTCGTCTATATGTGTTGTGTGTGTGTGTGTGTGTGTGTGTGTKTGAGAGAGAGAGAGAGAGAGAGAGAGAGAGAGAGAGAGAGAGAGAGAGAGAGAGAKGGGCAAGGGGGRRGGGGGCAGGGGTTACAGTTAGGGAAAATTCGGCGGCGGGTGGGCTAAGGTGAAAGTGGGCCACATGACACAGCTGTTTTTTCCCGTTTCGTTTGTGTGTGTTTGAGTGAGAGAGAGATGGAGAGAGAGAAAGAGAGAGAGAGACAGACAGACAGAGACATGTGGGAGGGGGAAATGTTAGGGGGAAGGGGGCGTTAAAGGCATGAGATCGCAATACGTGGCTGTGGCCTGTGACGTGATTTGTATAGCGTTTTATCTCTTTTCCGTTTTTTTTGTGTACGTATGTGTGTGTGTGTGTGTGTGTGTGAGGGTTAAAAGGGGCCGGAGGAAAGGGAGGTAGCTGAGGGTTGCAAGGGGCCGGAGGGGGAGGGGGGGGGAGGAATGAAGACGGTGCGCGTGAGAATTGGGGAATGGAGGGGAGAGAATGACACACGAGGGCAAAGTAGGACAGTGGGGGGATCAAAAATTTTGATGAGGCAAGTGCAACAGTATGGGTGGAGGGAGAATCGGGAAGTGTTAGGGGGAGCTGGGAGAGGGCGGGGGGGACGGTTAAAGGTTCCAAATCGTGCCACATGGTGTCGTACTACGTGGCTGCATGGCGCAATTCTTTTTCACTTTGTGTATTTGTGTATTTGTGTGTGTGTGTGTGTGTGTGTGTGTGTG